TGGAGTAGGTACTAGTGACCATGCTCATTATAGCTAGGTGTATAATGTGTGCTGAGGTCTTGGTCTTTCATCACTTATCTTATTATCATCATCAATCATAATTATGCGCTAAACCCATAGGGATCATACAGCGCTGATATATCTGTTGTAATGAACAAGCAGTTATCTTATATAATAAAACATGCTCTAAAATGATAGAAAATCAGTATTTAGCTAGACAGGGAACCAATATTATTACGTCATGTCACATGGCTTCTTCAGAAATAAGTAAGATATGAGTTAACCTTCACTATTTATTTCTTTGTAAAGGTTACAATGTGTAATTACAATTTTGGTTTGTTAAGTACAAAGAAAGCCACCATCATGCTGGGGCATTTTGGGTAGACTAATCCTAATACATAATAACTACTTAAATCTAGACAAGATAATATTAACTTTGTTAAAATCTTATTTAATCTTAATACATGTACTGAGTATACCAGGAAAAGTATACGGTAGGGTTATAATTGAAAGAATTAGAGGTAAGACAGAATGTAGAATTGCGGATGAGCAAGGAGGCTTCAGAGTGGGTAGGGGATGTGTAGATCAAGTGTTTACATTGAAGCATATATGTGAACAGTATTTAGATAAAGGTAGGGAAGTTTTTATTGCATTTATGGATTTAGAAAAGGCATATGATAGAGTGGATAGAGGAGCAATGTGGCAGATGTTGCAAGTTTATGGAATAGGTGGTAAGTTACTAAATGCTGTAAAGAGCTTTTATGAGGATAGTGAGGCTCAGGTTAGGGTGTGTAGAAGAGAGGGAGAATACTTCCCGGTAAAAGTAGGTCTTAGACAGGGATGTGTAATGTCACCATGGTTGTTTAATATATTTATAGATGGGGTTGTAAAAGAAGTAAATGCTAGGGTGTTCGGGAGAGGGGTGGGATTAAATTATGGGGAATCAAATTCAAAATGGGAATTGACACAGTTACTTTTTGCTGATGATACTGTGTTTATGGGAGATTGTAAAGAAAAATTGCAAAGGTTAGTAGATGAGTTTGAGAATGTGTGTAAAGGTAGAAAGTTGAAAGTGAACTTAGAAAAGAGTAAGGTGATGAGGGTATCAAATGATTTAGATAAAGAAAAATTGGATATCAAATTGGGGAGGAGGAGTATGGAAGAAGTGAATGTTTTCAGATACTTGGGAGTTGATGTGTCGGCAGATGGATTTATGAAGGATGAGGTTAATCATAGAATTGATGAGGGAAAAAAGGTGAGTGGTGCGTTGAGGTATATGTGGAGTCAAAAAACGTTATCTATGGAGGCAAAGAAGGGAATGTATGAAAGTATAGTAGTACCAACACTCTTATATGGATATGAAGCTTGGGTGGTAAATGCAGCAGCGAGGAGATGGTTGGAGGCAGTGGAGATGTCCTGTCTAAGGGCAATGTGTGGTGTAAATATTATGCAGAAAATTCAGAGTGTGGAAATTAGGAGGAGGTGTGGAGTTAATAAAAGCATTAGTCAGAGGGCAGAAGAGGGGTTGTTGAGGTGGTTTGGTCATTTAGAGAGAATGGATCAAAGTAGAATGACATGGAAAGCATATAAATCTATAGAGGAAGGAAGGAGGGGTAGGGGTCGTCCTCGAAAGGGTTGGAAAGAGGGGGTAAAGGAGGTTTTGTGGGCGAGGGGCTTGGACTTCCAGCAAGCGTGCATGAGCATGTTAGATAGGAGTGAATGGAGACGAATGATACTTGGGACCTGACGATCTGTTGGAGTGTGAGCAGGGTAATATTTAGTGAAGGGATTCAGGGAAACCGGTTATTTTCATATAGTCGGACTCGAGTCCTGGAAATGGGAAGTACAATGCCTGCACTTTAAAGGAGGGGTTTGGGATATTGGCAGTTTGGAGGGATATGTTGTGTATCTTTATACGTATATGCTTCTAAACTGTTGTATTCTGAGCACCTCTGCAAAAACAGTGATTATGTGTGAGTGTGGTGAAAGTGTTGAATGATGATGAAAGTATTTTCTTTTTGGGGATTTTCTTTCTTTTTTGGGTCACCCTGCCTCGGTGGGAGACGGCCGACTTGTTGAAAAAAAAAAAAAAAAACATGTACTAATGTGAGGTAGTCAAGGTAGAGGTTCATAAGAATAATAATTTTGAAGTTGCATGTAATAAAAACAATACGTATTACAATTAATGGTCCAAGTAGTAATATTCATGGATTGGCAGAAGTTAATAGACTAGAGGTCACATAATATAATAACTGATTGAAGTTGTTTTGTTTGGTTTGGTTAGTATTGAGAGATGAGATGATTTTTAAGGGAAGTCCTAAATTTATAAGTAGTCAGGGGATCCTTTACCAGTTCAGGTACTGAGTTCTAGATCTTTGGACCCTTTATGTACATTGCATTTTTGCACAGAGTGAGGCTGACATGAGGGATGTCAAAGAGTGCCTTGTGCCTTTTATTGTGACTGCGTTCTGTTGTAGCTATCAAGGAGAAGTTTAAGTGGAGGGTTTATATTGGAGTTTAATGTCCTGTATATGTAGTAGGCACAATAATATGAGTGTATGTCTGGTATATTTAGCAAGTTCAGTCTTTTGAAAAGTGGTGGGATGTGCTGTCTAGCACAGGAGCTGGTAATCATCCGCACAGCAGCTTTTTGTTGGGTTATTAAAGGTTTAAGGTGGTTGGCTGTAGTTGATCCCCAGGCACAAATACCATAGGTGAGGTAGGGATATATTAAAGAGGGTTATAGGGTAAGGAATGTTATTTGGAGTACATAGTATCATATCTTGGAAAGGATGCCTACTGATTTGTAAATTTTCTTGGATATATGTTGGATGTGGGAATGAAATTTAAGATAACAGTCAAAGAGAAGAGTTAGAAACTTATCCTCAGTGTGTCTTGAAATAGGAGAACCATTTTCTTTCTTTCAACACACCAGCCGTATCCCACCGAGGCGGGGTGGCCTAAAAGGAAAAACAAAAGTTTCTCCTTTTACATCCAGTAATATATACAGGAGAAGGGGTTACTAGCCCCTGGCTCCTGGCATTTTAGTTGCCTCTTACAACACACATGGCTTATGGAGGAAGAATTTTGTTCCACTTCTCCGTGGAGATAAGAGGAAATAAACAAGAACAAGAACTAGAAAGAAAATATAAGAAAACCCAGAGGGGTGTGTATATATATGCTTGTACATGTATGTGTAGTGTGACCTAAGTGTAAGTAGAAGTAGCAAGACGTACCTGAAATCTTGCATGTTTATGAGACAGAAAAAAGACACCAGCAATCCTTCCATCATGTAAAACGATTACAGGTTTCTGTTTTACACTCACTTGGCAGGACGGTAGTACCTCCCTGGGCGATTGCTGTCTACCAACCTACTACCTACAAGGGGAACCTATTTATCGATATATTAAGTTGGATATTTAAGGCTCTATAGACAGTAGGTTGGTAGACAGCAACCACCCAGGAAGGTACTACCATCCTGCCAAGTGAGTGTAAAATGAAAGCCTGTAATTATTTTACATGATGGTAAGATTACTGGTGTCTTCTTTTTTGTCTCATAAACATGCAAGATTTCAGGTACGTCTTGCTACTTCTTCTTACATTTAGGTCACACTACACATGCATGTACAAGCATATATATACACACCCTTGTGGGTGTTCTTCTATTTTTCTTACTAGTTCTTGTTCTTGTTTATTTCCACTTACCTCCATGGGGAAGTGGAACAGAATTCTTCCTCTGTAAGCCATGCGTGTCATAAGAGGTGACATAAATGACAGGAGCATGGAGCCAGTAACCCCTTCACCTGTATATATATTGCTAAATGTAAAAGGAGAAACTTTTTTTCTTTTTGGGCCACCCTGCCTTGGTGGGATACAGCTGGTTTGTTGAAAAAAAAAGGAGAAACTTTTGTTTTGCCTTTTGGGCTGCCCTGCATACAGAGGGTGATAATTAGTGTCTCAACCAGGAAATGTTTTTCACTGGAGTGATTAATGCTAGCCACTGCTATGACTCAAGTACTGCCCCAACCCGTGTCTAATCACCCTCTGTTATACAGTTAGTAGAGTGCTGGGCTGGAGAAGTGATGCACCGTGGGATCGAGTCTGCATTCCATCAAATTGTTGCATTCATTCATTCATTCATTATGTATTTTCAGATCATGCTGTAAAATGTTTAATTATGAAGTGTGCCTAGATACAGTATTTATTCCACAACATTGTACCACTCTAAGTTTCTTCCTTATTAATTAGTTAATTACTTCATAATTATGGTACCTTTGTTTCAGGTTTACCAAGCTCTTGGAGCACTTAGGCAGTTGTGAGCATTCAGTGGCAAAGTTGCTATCATTCACAACATAAGATACTGTGCGAGTTCACAGGTGTATTTGAAGTATAAAAAAAATAATTAGTAACAAATTGCAGAAATTTTTGCTATTATGACAAGCCCACCATTTAGAAAATGTACTAAAGCACTTTAAATATTGTACTGTGCAATGTTAGATGCTTTATTAATAGTGAAAGAAGAAGTTTCCATGATAGATATTTTTTATACTTTGAAACATTTTGACTTGACCTAATCCTGTATTTCTTTCCTGTGCATTGCAAATTTACACTGACAATTGTAATATTTTTTGAATACGCTGGCTGTCTCCTACTGAGGCAGGGTGATCAAAAAAAGAAAAAAACTCGCAATCATTCACACATAATCATTGTCTTTGCAGATGCATGCAGATGTGACAGTTCAAATGTCACTCTAAAAAACAAATATCCCAAACCCCTCCTTTAAAGTGTAGCCATTTTACTTCCCACCTTCAGGACTCGAGTCTGTCTCTTTAACACCATTGGATCTGGCCTGTATTTGGAGAGAGAGAGAACCACATGGATATAGTTTTGCCTTTGGCTAGTGAGACCTTAGGAAGTCATGAGCTTCTTATGATGAGGTAAAACAAATATTTAATCAGCTCTGAATCGACATTTAATATTGGTTACAATTTCTTTTACAGGTTAGTACATACTGTGAATGGTACAGCTTGTGCAATCCCTCGAACACTTATAGCTCTGTGCGAGACGTTTCAATCTCATGATGGAACTATCAATATACCAGCAGCATTGCAGCCATACATGTCAGGAAAAGTCAAGATAGAATTGCCTTCTCCCTGTTGGATGAAATGGATAAAGCAAAAATCTTATCCAGGACCAATTAAATCGTAAAAATTTCCTAATTTTATATTTATAAAAGATTGTCCTGTGTCAAAGTGATTCTGGTCTCCTCTGTAAAAATTGCTAGATGAAAAATAAAGCTTGTCATCAATTGAATATTGTAGTATTAATCCAATTATTATTATAATCAAAACTAAGTGCTAAACCTATAATGTATATTATTAATCCAAATAAATTTTAAAGTACCACTTTATAATCTGTTGCTATGATAATGGGAAGCACTAAACCCATGGAGATCATACAGCACTAGTGATGATCTGTTACCTGTTCTCACTGCAGTATTACTAGCAGGTATTAGGTTTCAGTAATTTTTATCTATATATAAAATAAAGGCAATGGACTCTTGAATCAAGGAATTGGAGCTACCCTTCCCCTCCTAAAATTAAACCTGATTAGTTCCCAAGACAGTGATGGAGTGAATGATGGTGAAAGTTTTTCTTTTTCGGGCCACCCTGCCTTGGTGGGAATCGGCCAGTGTGATAATAAAAAAAAAATAGTTCCCTTACTCTAGTCACTATATCCCTTACAGGTTTATTATTAATTCTGTACAGTATAATAATCTTAATTTACAATATTTATTCTTGTAAATTTGCCTTTATTTTTTCCTGTTTCATACCTTCAACTTTCCCAGCTAAACCGTTGTAGAGTTACTGAAGCAAGACTATTTTTACAATTTTTGTTGAAAATTAGACACATGCAACATCTGGGTATCTTTAGTGTACACATTTTGCCATCCAGTGGCTTTATCAATACAAATTCAGGGACTAATTTTTGTTGCCAACTGTGGTTAAAATATGTAGATTATTCATGTAGCTGCTCCATCGTCCTGAAGGAAGAGTTCCTCTGGGCAATAAGGCATCAAAAATATTATATTGTTAGTCTTTATTACTGTATTATAATATTCATGAGGGAAATTGTAAATTCATTGGGTCTGTACGAAAACTAGACAATGCAGGTTATGGTATGTTATTGTGAAAATGTTTCATCCACCACTGATTATCATGAATTGATAGTCTCTAGTGGACACAACATCTTCACAATAAAATGAAAAAATCTGCATAGTGCAATGTATTTACATACTGTTGTTACACTATACCATCATGCAACTGGAGTTATACACTGCTTGAATGAGGAAATTATTATTATTAGACTTGTGGAAATACTAAATCTGTACGGAAATGGAAGGTAATAAAATTTGATGCAAGGGGAGGGTATCTCCAATTCCTTGAATCGAAAGCCTTTTTCCAGCATCAAGGTACCTCCCCTTGAAAGGGAAGGCAGTTAGATTACTCATTTGCAATCTCTGTTGTGACCCACAACAGTCAACTAACATTCAGGTACCTACTTACTGCTAGATGAACAGGGGAAGCAGGTGTAAGGAAGTATGCTCAATGTTTCCACCCATGCCGGAGAATGAACCACGAACACTCAGCATATGAGCCGAGTGTGCTATCAATCCAGCCATAGGACCTGTACCTGGAACACTAGGCTGGATCACTACCTAGAGTGCAGTTTCACTAACTGAAACACTGATGCATTGTTGACTGCAAAATTTATCACATCAATCAACATTATTAAAATACAATTCTACCACAACATTATAATGTTACTAGTATATTATCTCCTTAAGCTAATACATATATTATTATTAGCATTATTATTAACTTAAGTATTATTATCATCAATATTATAATATAGATCACAGATGTGATATTACTCATTAGAGGAAAACACTTATAAAACATGAGAACTTAATCAAAAAGATATGTAATGAATAAAAAGGTACAACGCTGAGACTGGAACAATACACATAAACCTGCATATAGGAAAACTATTGTGTATGATGGAGCATAAAACAAAACCAATCTGTATATGTAGTGTGATGCTGACTGGAAAAACTCCACTACATTACTGGATGGAATTTTTTTTTATTTTTTTTAACACCGGCCATCTCCCACCACGGTAGGGTGACCTGAAAAATGAAGAAACACTTTCACCATCACTTGCTAGAGGCATGCTCACAATTCAGCTCACATGCTCCTCCAGACTAATGTCCCCACCCCTCCAGAGTGCAGGCACTGTACTTCCCACCCCCCTCATGGAAGGTTCCTTGATGTTGATGAGGGGCTCTTGATTTAGGGAATTGGATCTGTGCCCCAGTTCCCCGAATTAAGCCTAAATGCCTTCCACATCCCCCCCTGGGCGCTGTATAATCCTACGGGTTTAGCGCTTCCCCCTTGATTATAATAATAATAATGTACTTCCCACCTCCAGGACTCAAGTCTGGCTAATTGGTTTCTAAAATTCACTTTTGACATCTGCTATACCTTGATGCACTCATTAACTGATCTCTTGCCGAGAGTTCCACTTTCGACACAATCTTGATTTTTTGAACAGAAACTGGCCCAAGATTTTTCAACTGTCTCCCAGCATACACAAGGGAAATTACCAAAAAAAAACCAAAGCTGGACAAACACCTAAAGTCAGTACCTGACCAGCTGGGCTATGGCTTGTACGTTGGTTTACGTGAAGCTAACACTAACAGCCTGGTTGATCAGGCCTTGGTCCACCATGAGGCCTGGTCATGGACCGGCAGGGAAGTTGACCCCCCAAAACACCTTCCAGGTATACTCCACGTATTGAACTAACTCAGATATTAATTTTGCATCTGCAGTAATCTCAACCCTGCACATTACTGCAGTACTATGACCTAGTTGGATTTAGCATTTATTTTTACAACAATAATAATAAAGGAAGACAGTAAGAGCCAAATTGGTGCAAGACTGACAGGAGGGGTAAAAATAGAATATATTAATACAGGAGAAAACCACGAAGATGGGCTAAAATATGGCCTTAGGCCGTGCTATAAGAATTGAAAAACTCTGGAAACCGGTTACAGATCATGTCACAGAAGATACAGTCAGTATTGTATGTTATATCCAACATAAGCAGCAAATATTAGGGAAGAGAAATCTAATAATGCACACTGCATCCCTATGAATAATAATAATAATAATAATAATAATAATAATAATAATAATAATAATAATAATAATAATAATATTATTATTATTATTATTATTATTATTATTATAAGCGCTAAACCTACAAGGGTCATACAGCGCAAATAATTATAATATAACCTGCATACATCGTGTTAGTCATCAGTAGAACTGAAGTCACAATGTTAATATATTACCAGAATGAATGAGGTTACCAGTGTACATGATAAATAATGAATGATGTAAGGTGAGTGGTGATGTCAGGCCTCTGGCAATCTCTCCTTTCAAGGAGAGGTGCCTTGATGCTACTGACGGGCTCTTGATTCTAGAAATTTTAGGTACCTTACCCTTCCCTTAGATTAAGGATTTCATCATTTCATGGGAGCTATGCGACTCCCTACGTGTATACTGCTTCCTTATAAATAAAAATAATTATCTGGCAACTTGTACGAGGATGGTGGTGATGGTGGCACTGAGTGCCACACACGCCAGTGGTGGCACTGGTGTAGGACGCGCCTCACACTGCCCTTCATTCATACCCCATAACATTCACTGTCCCAGTCAACACCAGTGCCCTACACCACGTCTCCAGCACACACACCTCGCACCGTCTACCCTGGCCACTGCTGCCCACAGTGGAAAGTTGAGTGTTAACACTGTGTGAACAGGTGATGAATCCGCCTTGGGTGTCACTGGACTTGCCATGAGTGCCCCATGGCACTGATGTCAATCACTGCTGCTATACTAGTCTTGCCTCACCGCTTCTGAACTCCTGGCACTCACACGACTCTATCTCTACCAGACAAGAATAAGTGCATTTCGTTTTGTACTGAAAACATTACCGAAGACTAAAAAATATGAGATGTTCCATGATTTCAATGTTATCGCAAATTCAGCAGTAATATGAATCGCTCTTAATAAAAAGTTAAAAGGAGACATGTAAATGGCAGTGCTTACTTGATAGTTTATAAATTAGCGTGAAGTGGACTAACTGGGGAGTGAAGGAAGACTTGTGGTGAAGATAAGATGGGTCGCAGCAGCGAGAGGAACGCCATGAGGGTGCCAAGTGTGAGTACGCCAGGTGTGGGGAGCGTTAGAATGTCGGCAGGTGTGGTGGGCGTGGTGCTGCTGACGTTGATAGTGACAGGCACGCCCACGGCCTCAGCTGACCCTAGGGAGGATGGCCTGGCCTCGGTACTGAGGGAGATCACAGGTAAGCACAAGCTTCACTCTTGCTAATTCAACTTTCCAGAGTATACGGGACAAACTCTAGCCTTCCTTTTCTAAATTTATGTATGTTGAACTGTGCACACAGTTCTTAGTCTATTACCTCATTATGTATTTAATGACCATCCTGTGGGTGCTAGTGAAAAGATTACAGAAGTGCATAATGGTTCCGGAGACTGGACCACAATATTCTGATAACTATGCGAGTTACAGATGTAATGAATCATTGACAAAGGAAGTTTTTTTTTCCTCCAAACGTTTGGTAATATACCACCATGGATAAAATGCTCTGACATTTCTGAACATTTGTGAATGAGTTGTCCGTGAATTCATGATTTTTGTCGAATTCCAACAAACTGCCCAGCTTGTTAGGTAAGACACATATGCAACAGTTAGGTATCTTTATTATGAAACGTTTCGCCTACACAGTAGGCTTCTTCAGTCAAGTACAGAAAAGTTGATAGAAGCAGAAGATACTTGAAGACGATGTAATCAGTCCATCACCCTTAAAGTTTTGAGGTGGTCAGTCCCTCAGTCTGGAGAAGAGCATTGTTCCATAGTATGAAACAATATGGAGATGAAGTGACAGGATGGAGCTTTTATAGCGCCATGAGGTGAGACGTAGGCCACTAGGAGAGGTAAGAACTCAGATGTTGAAAGGTCAGGTCCTTCTCAAATCCAGCCGCTCTCACTGGTGGAAGTTGTCGAAGTTGATTGCAGGTCTGTACCAAGATACCCTTGTGTTGCAGTGTCTGACAGATTGAACATTAAAATGGTATTTTATACCATTTTAATGTTCAAACTGCCCAGCTCAAGTCGAGCAGTAGTAAGTAGTGACGTCCAAGAGTTTTCTGATATTTCTGGATACACAGACTTGTGGCTCCTCCTGTATGAATGAATGATGAGAGATGACTGACTGGTGTCAATTTCATCCAGTCTCCAGTCAATGAAGCTTAATTGAAGTTCTTTTCATATTATTATCTTAAATGACTTATTGACAGCCAACAGTTGTAATCTACTCTCTCCATTAAGGTTTTTGTCACTTTTTCATTAGTCCTATCATGCATCTGAAGGCTAATATGAGCATTCTGACACCACTGTATCACAACTGAAACTTGAGGAACTGTATTTTCCTGGTTCATAATCACTTACAATTAAATTACACTTTAGATACATTGAAACATTTGAATGTGAGGAGTACGGCAAACCTTTCAATATGTTTCCCTTCATTATTTCCAATGACACGTTGAAAACAAATATTATTAATAGGGGACATGTGGAAGTCTTTTACATAATTTCCTAAATGTAGAATATCTAAATGAATAAGATTATAATATCCTTATTTACTACAAGTACATGTACAAGGTATACAGGTCTAGCTGACATCAATGACATACTACTATATGGAAAGCCGCTTGTTATGTAGAGCATTTCGGGCAAATTAGCCCGAAATGGGACCCACACCAGTCGACTATCACCCAGGTACCCATTATACTGATGGGTGAACATGGATAACCGGTATAAGGGAACACGTTCGATGTTTCCACCCCTTCATCGGGAATCGAACCTGGACCCTCACCGCATGAAGCGAGAGCTTTTGCCACCAGGCCACGGGGCACCGTGATTGTGTATTAAAATGTGATGATATTTGGACCCTTCGAGAAAATTAAGTGAAGGGGGTGTGGAAGAGCTCCGGGGAGGAGATGCCATATTAAATTTAATGTGTGAACACTGTACTGAGGTGTGCAATGTGATCGGACGTTCTCGGAGGCCAAATTGGGGCGTTTTGGCCTGAATTTGTAATAGGAACCTGTGTTTATGTCCCCTGCTGAAGAATTGGGCCAGGAAATTTGCGGGATCTCAAGAATTGCGTGTGGATGGCGGAACATCACTCACAGGGAAATGCACCAGTAGTCTGCATTTAAATCTCTAGCTGGCCAGTGTCGGGTCTAGGTGTTAGGCAGGTGTTATGGTGTGATCCATCTATAGTAATTACATGATAAGTGGCAATACAAAGTTCTTTTCTAAAAACACTATTGTATTATATATATTGTACTAATAGATATATTTTTGTGTACCCAGCAAGTGAACCAGAATAACATAATACACATAATTTTAATTTACCAGAGTAGCTGGTTTTAATATCATAATTAATTTAATGTCAGGTCTAGCTTTTTGAGAGAGAGAGGTAGGGAGTGGGCTTCGAAGGAGTGACAATTCAGTGACCTGCTGTGACTTAAGTCCCAG